ATGAAGAGAGATCTTTACTTTGAAACATTTCCATTCCCTTCATCCATCCCAATGTTGTTTGCAGCAGTCACTGGATGGACCACCCATACGATGATGATGTTGACGACGATGATGCATCATTTTCAAGCATTCCATTTTCTTTTTTTTGACATGGTTGGACCTTCTTTGGCATGATGGTTACTCGCTTGACGTAGACATATCTGATGCTCATCCCAACCATGACCTCCACTTTGTAATCTTTTGCAGCTTCACCCTCAAACTGAACGTCCCTTGCTGCTTGTCCCATTGATTATGAACATACCATCAAAACCTTTCAAATTCTGGAAATGCAACTTGCCATTACAAGTACCTCTGGAACAGAAAAAAGCAGACACCTCCCTCCCGATGTGGCATAATGTTTGGCTTCCCTGTTAGGGTAACAGCTAGTACATCCGTGAAATAAACACCCCTGGAACTCGTATACAGTATTGGTTAAGGAACCTCCCTCTTACCTCCTACACTGCCATGCTGCTACCAGTGTCTTTCCACTGCCTGTTGGTCCACCGATCCAGTACCAGCTGCACCCTTTGTCCAATGTTCCTTGCACCTTCCATACCTGGTGTACACCATACTGTCCGTATCGTAATACAACACTTGTTCTTGCAATAGGTTGTCTCACGGATTTACACCAAGTGGGCTACCCTGCCGACTCCTGTTTCGTCTTTAACCAGGTGTTCACGTAATCCTTGAAGAGGTCTGTTTGGCTTTGATGTTTGGAAAATGCCATACTTCATGAATCTGAATCTGGGTACAGGCAATCACCAGTTGTTCCGGCAGTACCTTTTCTCCACAATTCCATGGTAACCTATGGCATTTCCAGGATGTGACATCAACCTTCTTCACCTCAGGTAAAGAGACCTCGGCAGCAACCATTCCCCTGGCGGTCAAGTTCATTCATCACCACACCTGTTTATCTCTCGTGTTTCCTTTTCATAACCAACGTGAATCTCAATGCACTTGCCTTGGAAATGGACAGCCTTTGTTCCAAAGCACCAATTAGTTCTAACACGATCCGCGTAAAGTCCTTCCCATAGTACGTGGTCCATGTATGTCCATGTAGCGTTAAAAACCATAGGTTTTCCAGTCACTCCTAAGCATGACATGGAACATCGTCACCTTCCTTCATCCACTCCAAAGTAAATGGTGTTTTCTTTTCCATGAACTCCAACTTGTTGCCTAAAGGTCTTCACTATCGGTGCCTCATACAGGGACACTCGAACCTCGATTTGAAGCACATGGTCACCAGGATGGCCTTTTTTTGTTGGTCTTTCTCCTTTCACCGCATCCTGTAACATATCAAGTCGATAGCATGGGATTCATTTGTTCATCTTCACGCAGGTGCTACAAAGAGGAAATGTGAGTTTTCCACCCCTCCAGTACAGGTAGTACTGGGTGGAATTGAAAACCTTCTTTCACCTTCCTTTATGCGTCTGTTCATATCTTCCATAATATATTTCTCCAGGAATGTCACCCTCTGAACACTATACTATAAAAAAAACTGTGGACATGTTTTTCCGTGTGTGTAGTCTTTAAGCAGTGTATTCCATTTTAGCCCAATGAAGTGTATCCATTAAACTGTCGTTAGTTCAGGCGTACACCAAGTTCCAGGTGCGATCGCAGGCCAGCGTAGTTTACTCCATTTTTTTTCGCATCTTCTTCGACCTCCGCATCTTCTTCTTCTTCCTACAAAGGACTCGCCATACAGATCAGTTTAAACTCAAACTGTCCATACGGCAATCATAGTTGCTATTGCACAACACAAGTCATCCTCGTTGTTTATGCTGTCCCGTAATAATACAAAAATGTAAATAATAAAAAATGTAAATAACAAATAGTTAGGATGTAAAATTAAAGTATAGAAAGTTGAACATACAATGTGTCACGTAATTATTCCTTAGCAACCACCCCTCTCATGACGTCACCATGGTGACGTAGTTTGATTGACAGATAATCAAGGTGCATCATGGGTAATTTGTACCATGCGATTTGATATGACGCGTCTCTCCTGCTCTCTGATTGGTCCATTTGTACCACGTGACCTAAATACTCGTCGCTGATTGGCTACTGGCAGAAGTGCATCCGGTTACTACTTTTTTGCCAAGTATCCGTAGTAACTCTTACCAAGATTCTTCCCAAGATTCCCTTATTAAATCTTAACAAGATACTTACCAAGATTCCCTTAGTAAATCTTACAAGGATTTTTACCAAGATTTCCGTAATAATTCTTGCCAAGATTCTTGCCAAGATTCCCGTACTATTTCTTGCAAAGATTATTGCCAAGTTTCCCTGAGTAATTCTTGCCAAGATTCTTATTGAGATTCCCGTAGTAATTCTTACCAAGATTTTTACCAAGATTCCCGTAGTAATTCTTACCAACAATGTTACCACGATTGTGGTAGTAATTCTTACAAAGATTCTTGTCAAGTCGCTCTTAGTAATCCTTGCCAACACTCTTACCACGATTCAAGATTTAAGATTTAAGATTCTTTCAGTAGTAACTCTTACCAAGTTTTTTGCCAAGATTCCAGCAGTAACTCTTACCAAGATTCTTACAAAGATTTCCGCAGTAATTCTTACCTAGCTTCTTGCCAAGATTCTCCTAGGAAGACTCTTTGAATAAATTTTACAATGATTCTTTCCAAGAATCCCGTTTGAATTCTTACCAAGATTCTTGCCAAGATTCCCTTAGTAGATCTTACCAAGATTGTTACTAAGATTCTCTTAATAAATCTTACCAAGATCTTTGCCGAGACTTTCCCAGAATCCCGTTTAAATTCTTACCAGGATTCTTGCCAAGATTCCCTTAGTAGATCTTACCAAGATTGTTACTAAGATTCTCTTAATGAATCTTACCAAGATCTTTGCCGAGACTCAAGTAGTAATTCTTACCAAGATTCTTGCCAAGATTCCAGTAGTAACTCTTACCAAGATGCTCACAAACATTTCCGCATTAATTCTTACCAAGCTTCTTGCCAAGATTCTCCTAGTAAATTTTAACAACATTCTTACCAAGATTCCCTTATTAAGATTTTCGTATTAATTCTTACCAATATTCTTGCCAAGATTCTTGTAGTAGATATTACCAAGATTGTTACCAAGACTCCCTGAATAGATCCCGGTAGTAACTCTTACCAAGATTCTTACAAACATTTCCGTAGTAATTCTTACTAAGCTTCTTGCCAAGATTCTCCTAGCAAGACTCTTTTAATAAATCTTACAAAGATTCTTTTCAAGATTCCCGTTTTAATTCTTACCAAGATTCCCTTGGTAGATCTTACCAAGATTGTTACTAAGATTCTCTTAATAAATCTTAGCAAGATCCTTGCCGAGACTCAAGTAGTAATTCTTACCAAGATTCTTGCCAAGATTCCTGTAGTAACTCTTACCAAGATTCTTACAAAGATTTCCTCAGTAATTCTTACCAACAATCAGCGACAAAATTGTTGAGACATTGTACTTAAATAGGGTGACTTCGGAGAACAAAAGAATCCGCACCCCTCCCCTGTCCCCTCCATTCAAAGTTGGGGTTTTTTGTTGTTTTCTATAGGTAGCTAGAACAAGGGCCCAACATTGTACGGAGGGGATGGGGCGGGAAAGGTATATTTCCTCCTTTTGAAGTTCATAAAACGTAAAAAAGCCTACTTTTGGGCGAAGTGTCTCAACTCATTTTGTCGCCGATTGTCTGAATCGAAATCTACGCGCTGTTGTCCTATTAGCACCGGTTAGGAGACGGTAACTAGTTGAGATTACTATATTCACCGGGTCGTTTTTCAGAAGATAGATAAGATACCCATATAATCCCTTTCCTGTGTTCTTCGAGGGAAAATTGGTTTTGACAATCTTTGTACTCGGTAGTGATTTCAAGTAATTACGCAGTATAACCACGTACCGAGTGATTGAAATTCCTCTGGTAACTAAGTGTGATCGGTAGGAATCGATGGCAGATAATATATTATATTTGAATATATCCCTAGTAAGTTCGAAGTGTTTATTCGAAGTTTGGCTATTTGGTAAGGGTGGGATGGACGATAAAATAGCCATGATTGCTATACGCAGGAGAATTTTCAGGAAAAATGTTCCAAGTTCTAATGCACAGCAAAGCTGCATAGCTTCGCTAAATCTGTGCAGCAAATTCGTTGCCCATATACCCATGAGGGTCTTTGAAGAATGTACTTTACAGTAGAAACTATGAGGTCAGGAGGAGACTGGCCACGAGTAACCACGAGTAACCAACTTTGTTCTTAAAAGATAATTAGATTATTTTGTTTTTTACTCTGATCGTGGTCACTCGTGGTTACTCGTGGAAATTTGTCCTAAAGAGCAATTTTAGCCATTATAACTACTTTAATGCCTAGAAATCTATTAAGTTTTCTATCCTTTTCACTTTGTTCTTTGTTTCGATGCGTTTCGCTAAAGGAGAGAATAAGAAATCGTGCCCGACGCGCCACATCGCACGATGTCAAGGCACGGTTAAGCGTGACACGAAATGTCACGCACTGAAAATAACGAAATCGCCTTATTCTAATTGTTCTAAAATAAGTATGATGAAGTCAAACATAACAAATAAAAAGCCACCAGGGGTCTTACATCCCAGCATAAAAAAATGAATTCAATTAACTTTCTAAAGGACGTACGGCCACTTTTGAGATTCAGACAATCGGCGACAAAATTGTTGTTGGGGGAGGAAGGGCATATTTCCTCCTTTTGAAGTTCATAAAACGTAAAAAAGCCTACTTTTGGGCGAAGTGTCTCAACTCATTTTGTCGCCGATTAAAGCTTCTTGCCAAGATTCTCCTAGTAAATTTTAACAGCATTCTTACCAAGATTCCCTTATTAATATTTTCGTATTAATTCTTACCAATATTCTTGCCAAGATTCCCGTAGTAAATCGTACCAAGATTGTTACGAAGACTCCCTGAATAAATCTTACAAAGATTCTTGCCAAGATTCCCTTTTTTATTCTTACCAAGATTCTTGCCAAGATTCCCTTAGTAAATTTTACCAAGATTGTTACTAAGATTCTCTTAATAAATCTTACCAAGATCCTTGCCAAGACTCAAGTAGTAATTCTTACCAAGATTCTTGCCACGATTCCTGTAGTAATTCTCACCAAGATTCTTGCCAAGATTTCCGTAGTAAATCTTACTAAGATTCTTCCCAAGAATCCCTTAAAAAATCTTTACAAGTTTCTTATCAAGATTCCTATCGTAATTCTTATTAAGATTCTTGCCAAGATTCTTACCAAGATACCCACAAGAATTACTCCAAATCTTGTCAAGATTCCCTTAGTAAATCTTATTAATATTCACGTTGTAATTATTACCAAGATTTTTACCAAGATTCCTGTAGCAATTCTTACAAAGATTCTTAGCAATATTCCCTTAGTAAATGTTACCAAGATTGTTACTAAGATTCTCTTAACAAATCTTACCAAGATCGTTCCAGGGACTGAAGTAGTAATTCTTACCAAGCTTCTAGCCGAGATTCTCCTAGCAAGACTCTTTTAATAAATCTTACAAAGATTCTTTCCAAGATTCCCGTTTTAATTCTTACCAAGATTCTTTCCAAGATTCCCTTCGTAAATCTTACCAAGATTGTTACTAAGATTCTCTTAATAAATCTTACCAAGATCCTTGCCAAGACTCAAGTAGTAATGCTTACCAAGATTCTTGGCAAGATTCCTGTAGTAATTCTTACCAAGATTCTTCCCAAGATTTCCGTAATAAAGCTTACCAAGATTCTTCCAAAGAATCTCTTAGTAAATCTTAACAAGATTCTTATCAAGATTCCCATCGTAATTCTTATTAAGATTCTTGCCAAGATTTTCGTAGTAATTCTTGCCAAGATTCTTACCAAGATTCCCTAACCCACTTTACTCCCAATCTTGTCAAGATTCCCTTAGGAAATCTTATTAATATTCACGTTGTAATTATTACTATGATTTTTACCAACATTCCCGTAGCAATTCTTACAAAGATTCTTAGCAACATTCCCTTAGTAATTGTTGCCAAGATTCTTACTAATCTTCCCGTAGTTATTTCTACCAAGATTCCTTTAGTAATTCTTTAGGTTTCCTTAGCTATTCTTGCCAGGATTCTTTTCAAGATTCCCGCTATAATTCTTACCAAAATTCCCGTAGTAACTCTTACCAAGATTCTAGCCAAGATTTCTAAAAACATTTCTTCTTTTCTAAGATGCTATAGCATCTGGTCTAGAATTGTTGGTGATTCCATAGGATTTTGTATAGGATCGTGTACGATCTCAGCGATTCTCTAAAATACTCAAAGATCTTGTAGGATTTATATGATTCTGTCTATAATACTGTAGGATGTTTTTCAGAACTGATAAAGCTTCTATAGAATTCCTGTAGGATCTTGTATGATTGCATAGGATCTTTTCTATTATCCTGGCCGATCTTCTTTAGATTTGATAAAGATTCAATATTATCTTTCTGAAACCTTCTCTTTGCATTAACTTCCTGAAATAAGTACGTGTTTATTTCTTGAATAAATTTTTAGCTTCTTGTCTAAGATGCTATGGCATCTTGCCTTGATTGTTGACGATTCCATAGGATTTTTTGTACCATCATATACGATCTTATAGAATTCTCTAAGATCCTGTAGAATTTCATATGAGTTTGTCTGTAATACTGTAGTATCTTTTTCAGGGTTGATAAGGATTTCTTAGGCAAGATTGACACTATGCTCTCGAGTCCTTCAAAATGTCCTCTAAGATCCAATAGCATCTTAACTAAAATTATTAACCATTTTGTAGGATTTTGTCTGGGATCCTATGACATCCTATAGGATCTTGTATGATTCCACTGTTTAAAATTTTACACAGTCCTGTGCAGTCCTTTCACGCTTGTCTAAGATCCCATCCCCAAGCAATACTATCCTGTACAATCTTATAGGATTCTCTAGGATACTGTATGATCCAATAGAAATTTGACATGATCTTCTTTATAATACTCTAGGATCATTTCCAGAACTGATAAGGATTCCATAGAATTACTGTAGGATCTTGTACGCTTTCATAGGATCTTGTCCATAAACGCGCAGGATCATCTCCAGATTTAATATAGATTCCATTGCATCTATTTACAGCTTCTCTTTGCATTAACCTGCTGAAATAAGCATTTGTACATTTCTTAATTAAGATGCTGTAGCATCTTGTCTAGGATTGTTGAGGTTTCCATAGGATTTTGTTTAGCATCCTGTACGATCTTATAGGTTTCTCTAGAATCCTGTAGGATTTTAAATGATCTTGTCTTTGATACTGTAGCATCCTTTCCAGAGTTATTCGGATTCCATAGGCCGTAGTTACTAAAACAAGGAATGACCTACAATGATCTACAATGATCTACAATGACCTACAATGATCTACAATGATCTAAAATGATCTACAATGAGCTACTATGACCGAAGGTGTAATCCCTGTAATGAGCTAAAATGAAGATTTTAGAAAAAGACAAAAAAAAAAAAGATCAGGGGACGTGTGCGTAAACGTAACGCGTTTAGTCTACTGCATGACAGCCCATTTAACGATGACAGCATCTCTATTACGCTTATTACGCTTGGAGATAAATTTACAGTGTAATAATACATGCATGATGATACTGTGACTTTTGTCCAAACCATCCCTTGCAACCTTTCGCATTAGTTTTATTTTGTCTTGTCTTTTTTTCAAACAAATTGAACAAACACAGTCACCCCAACAGTCGATCCGGGGAGATCTTCAAGGGATGTAAGGGTAGAGGTGAACAAAGGAGGCCTTCAAATTCTTACCCTGTTCAAAAGAAAAATTGTTCATTTTTTTCAGGTACCCTGGCCTGTACAAGACATCATAAGATCCTTTAAATGGCTTCCGGTCCAACAGGATGCACTGTTTGTAACGCTAAATAGTAAACTCCATATCCTGCTCAGCGGCCCATACCCATCTAGGCCAAATGAGGTTTACTTCGGTCAATACAAGGTATAATAGTGCTATACCGCTAAAAGCGCGATTGCAATAATCTATTTTCAAGTTTCTCAAGTTACCTGAGATCAGGAACAATTTTTTTTTTGCCTTTTTAAAATGTGCTTGACAATTTAATACCATGAGCCTAGTGTCACGTCCAAGCGTGACACACGACAAACATCATTGTCTGTCATTTTGTAGCTCATTGTAGGGCTTATTTTAACTCGTAGTAGCTCATTGTAGCTCATAGTAGCTCGTCGTAGATCATCGTAGATCATTGTAGGTCACTGTAGGCCATTGTAGGTCATTGCAGGTTATTCCTTGTTTTAGTAACTACGACACACGTCCCCTCATCTTGTTTTTTGTCTTTTTCTTAAATCTTCATTATATTTCATTACAGTGATTACACGTTTGGTCATAGTAGCTCATTGTAGGTCATTGTAGATCATTGTAGATCATTGTAGGTCATTGTATGTCATTGTAGATCATTGTAGGTCATTGTAGGTCAATCCTTGTTTTAGTAACTACGGGGTTAACCCATGGTTTTGGTCCCAAAATGGCCATTTTTCGTCACTTTTTTTTTAGGCAATATAGGCCAGGAAAATGTGTTTTACGAAATTCTAGAACGAAAAAACGCTTTACTAAGATATAAAAACAAGAAGTTCAAAAAGTCGAAAAATTGACATTTTTCCAAAGGCGTTAACCCATGATTTTGGTCCAAAAATGGCCATTTTTCCAACCTTTTTTTTTAGACAATATAGGCCAGGAAAATGTCTTTTCCGAAATTCTAGCACGACAAAACGCCTCTCTAGGGTATAAAAACAAGAAGTTCAAAAAGTCGAAAAATTGACATTTTTCTAAAGGGGTTAATTAATGACTTTGGTCCAAAAATGGCCATTTTTCCAACTTTTTTTTTTTAGGCAATATAGACCAAGAAAATGTCTTTCACCAAATTCTAGAACGACGCAACGCCTTTTTAGGCTATAAAAACAAGAAGTTCAAAATGTCGGAAAATTAACATTTTCCCAAACGGGTTAACCCATGGTTTCGGTCCGAAAGTGGCCATTTTTGGAAGTTTTTTTTTATAGGCAATATAGGCCAGGAAAATGTCTTTTACGATATTCTAGAACGAAAAAACGCTTTTCTAAGCTGTAAAAACAAGAAGTTTAAAAAGTAGAAAAATTGAGATATTTCCAAAGGTGTTAACCCATGGTTTTGGTCCAAAAATGGACCTTTTTCCTGACTTTTTTTTTTAGGCAATATAGGCCGGTAAAATGTCTTTTACGATATTCAAGAACGAGAAAACGCTTTTCTAAGCTATAAAAACAAGAAGTTAAAAAAGTCGAAAAATTGACATTTTTCCAAAGGGTTTAACCCATGGTTTTGGACCAAAAATGGCCATTTTTCCAACTTTTTTTTTAGGCAATATAGGCCAGTAAAATGTCTTTTACGATATTCTAGAACGAAAAAACGCTTTTCTAAGCTTTAAAAACAAGAAGTTAAAAAAGTCGAAAAATTGACATTTTTCCAAAGGGGTTAACCCATGGTTTTGGTCCAGAAATGGCCATTTTTGCAACATTTTTTTTTTTGGCAATATAGGCCAGGAAAATGTCTTTTACGATATTCTACAACGACAAAACGCCTTTTTAGGCTATAAAAACAAAATGTTCAAAAAGTCGAAAAATTCACCTTTTTGCAAACGGCTTAACCCATGGTTTTGAACCAAAAATAGCCATTTTTGGAACTTTTTTTTTAGGCAATATAGGCCAGGAAAATGTGTTTTACGATATTCTAGAACAAAAAAAACGCCTTTCTAAGCTGTAAAAACAAGAAGTTTAAAAAGTCGAAAAATAGATATTTTTCCAAAGGGGTTAACCCATGGTTTTGGTCCAAAATTGGCCATTTATGAAACTCTTTTTTTTCATGCAATACAGCCCAGGAAAATGTCTTTTACGATATTCTAGAACGAAAACACGCCTTTCTAAGCTGTAAAAACAAGAAGTTAAAAAAGACGAAAAGTTCCATTTTTCCAACGGGGTTAACCCATGGTTTTCGTCTAAAAATGGCCATTCTTTTATTTTATTTTTTTAGGCAATATAGGCCATTAAAATGTCGTTTAAAATATTCTAGAAAGAAAAAACGCCTTTTTAGCCTGGAAAAAGAAGAAGTTCAAAACGTAGAAAAATTGACATTTTTCCAAAGGGGTTAACCCATGGTTTTGGTCCCAAAATGCCCTTTTTTGGTCACTCTTCTTTTTAGGCAATATAAACCAGGAAAAGGTGTTTTACGATATTCTAGAACGAAAAAACGCTTTTCTAAGCTACAGAAACAAGAAGTTAAAAAAGTCGAAAAATTGACATTTTTCCAAAGGCGTTAACCCATGGTTTTGGTCCAAAAATGACCATTTTTCCAATTTTTTTTTCAGCAATATAGGCCAGTAAAATTTGTTTAAAAATATTCTAGGACGAAAAAACGCCTTTTTAGGCTATAAAAACAAGAAGTGCAAAAAGTCGGAAAATTGACATTTTTCGAAAGGGGTTAACCCTTGACTTTGGTCCAAAACTGGCCATTTTTCCAACCTTTTTTTTTTAGGCAATATAGGCCAGGAAAATGTCTTTCACCAAATTCTAGAACGACAAAACGCCTTTCTAGGCTATAAAAACAAGAAGTTGAAAATGTCGGAAAATTGACATTTTTCCAAAGGGGTTAACCCATGGTTTCGGTCCAAAAGTGGCC